ACCCAATTCCGTCAATCTAGGGAAGCCCATTGGATTGAGACATTGAATACAGCAAGACCTATAGGACTAAATATTCATCATAATGTAGGCATAGCACCCTTTTTTGTCCCGCTTAATACAACCAGCAATCGAGCAAGCAAGATAGTTCATGCCCACTATAAGAGCCTTCAAGAGAAATTCCCCCATGTCTATAAGCAGAAAATGATAGTTGCATATTCCAAAAATAAGAACTTAAATGATAATATTGTTCATAGTAAACTAAAAACATTCAGCAAATAACAGATACTATACTTCTCGCCCATTGGGCGAGTTATTTTTTATAATTTCAGATCAGAATAAGAACAAAAGAAAACTCAATATCAAGACCCTTAGTCCTAATTTCTAAATAAAGTGTCTCCTCCACCCTAGGCCTGTACATTTGGGGGAATCAAACCCTCCCTTCCCCGAAATCTAATAATATAATTGATTTATTCAAAGAATATAGCGCTTGCACGAAAGATAAAACGGAGGTTCATTCGAGACTTAAAAAAATAAAATGTACTAAACTAATGGCCTTTGATGCTAACGGTTTGTACGCTTCCGCCATGTCGGATTTAGATAGCGAATATCCGAGAGCGGAAAGTGGTAGACCATTTCTACCGGAAGAAAATAAAGAATTTTTCAAGCTCTTTAATGAACAGAAATTCAGACCTAGAACTGCTATTTTAAAAGTCTGGTTTGAATATCCCAAAAACATGTTCTTCCAACACATACCAGCTAAAGATAAAATCACTTTCACGAATAAAGAAGGTAAAAAGGAAACTGGCACTAAAATCAGATTCAGAAATGGTGTCTGTCACGACGTTTTAACATCGGTCGATATTCAAGAAATAGTGAAAGCCGGTGGACGAATTATTAAAATATTAGATGGTATAGTTTACGAAGAAAATTTTAAATCTCCACCCTATAGAGATTACATTTTAATTTTGAGAAATCTAAGAAATACATATAAACGAGAAGGTAATATCGTAGGTAGTAATTGCATGAAATTATTAGGCAATTCGTTGTATGGTAAATCTATTCAGAAGGATATAAATACATCGAGACATCTATGGAGTGAAGCGACTTTAAAAGCCAACTTCGATTCACACGTCAAAAGCTATGAAAAAGTAAATGATAGTCAATATATAGTTGAGATGAATGAAGAAGAAAAAGAATTTATTCCTCCTAAATCTACACGACTAACACCTTGTCATTTGGGATCATTCGTTTTATCTCACAGTAAAAAAATAATGAATAATTTTATTCACGTGATAGATGGATTCTATAAGCCTGAAATATACTATACGGATACCGATAGTTTATACATTTCGTCTAACAATTGGGATAAATTAAATGAAGCTGGGTTGGTGTCCGAAAATGATTATTGTAAAGGAAAGAATGATTACGGTGATGGTGGAATTATATTTGGTTTATATTTAGCGCCAAAAGTTAAATACAATATCATTCTAACTTCCGATGGTGTTTTAAAAGAAAAGAAAACGTTTAAGGGTTACTCTAAAGATAAGATATCCGTAGAAGATTATATTCGATTAGCTAGTGGACTCGATGTAACGAATGAATTTGAGAAACCTTGGATAAAAAGTTTCACCAATGGAGTAGTTATTCCAAAGGATGATGATAAACAAAAGAAAGTTTTTAGAAGTTATCTAAATCTCGTTAAGAGAAAAGCACCAAACAGTGAAGGAATCATGTATCCTTACAACGACGGAAAAGAATTGAACATAGATGAAAACTACGAATTTGATGATTTCGATTACCTTACTATTCAAGAAGAGAATGAAGAGTGTTAATTTTTTTGTTTTAAATGAAGTTGAATAACAATTTCCTCGTTACCAAAATCTTTAAGCCTATTTTTACCATCTTTGATTTCCAGATTTATATCTTCAATCATAAAGGAATTAAGTGGTAAATACGTCGTTTGAAATGGTTTCTCTATAATTCTATATCCTATCGGTACAGTGAATGTTGGAAGACTGTAAATAATCTGACGTTTGTATTTATTGAAAAATCCACCGTTTATCAAATTGCAATGTATATTTATCACATCGATATCATTCTCGATATTAGCTTTGTGTGGTGCTAAAGTGGATTGCGTGTTTACTCGTTTATCAAATCCTAGTAACGTATTCAATGAATTTTCTACGTTGAAATCAACTTGACTATTATTTCTTAATATCAATTTTATTTTGTTCAGATTCAAATGACCTTCGAATTCAATATTGTTTTTACCATTGACACTTCCTCCATATTCAGATAGGTATTCGTTAATGGCTATATATTCATAGCTTCCTGGTAGTAAACGTATGGTTTTGAACGTAACTCCGTTATCTGTTGATATTTTTATTTGGTTATTTTTTTCGTTGATATTTCTAATAGAATTGTAAACAGAGAAATACTTTAATCCCAATTCATATTCTTGATTGCGATCGAGTTCGTACTCATAATCTAGAGATAATTTAATGTCTGATTTATTTGAGGTGATGACAAATAGTTGTTCTTTATTTGACATTTTTAATCACGCTTTTATAATCATTTTTATCTATGATACCTTTTTCTAGGAGTCTTTTTAATATACAATTTACTTCATTATATTGTCTGTGTGATCGATGTCCTTCCTTCATTGCCGCTAATATTACTCGTAATCTATTAAGTAGTAGGATAAAAACGTTATACCTTCTCCAGATACCATATCTTCGAATTCATCTATTTCTTGTAAGATTGGTGGATAATCTTCCGCATAATCATCTGATTCCTCTTCAGGAATAACTTTATTTAAATATGTTTCAACTGCCATCTATCTTTTTGTTTTGCGCTTATTCTTCATCATATACAGAAATTTTAAGTATTCTACTAAATCCTTGCGTTTGGCAATCTCAATATCACCGCCATTCATTAAATCTATTAATCCTTCTATTGTAAATATAAAGTCTTTTTTATCGATTTCGAAGGGTAAACATCACTAAATAGTATTCTAAATCCAATAAACCTTTTTTATCAACGATTGGTGAAATGGTCTTTGGTAAATTTGGGTCAGGGTTTGAAAAATATCGATTTATATCATATAATGATCTAATTATGATTTCATCATCTTTAATGGGATATTCTATAGAATCGGTGATTGTAAAATTTGTTTAGGTTCTAATTTCTTTTTAATATCCTCTTGAGATTTTAATATGGGTTGAAATAGATTTTGTAGATTTTTCGTTAATCCGAGTTGTTGTAATCTGTTATTTTCAACTTGGGTTTTATTTTATTCTTAGATTTGATATATTCTTTGTTTCTTTTTAAAATATTATTCCAATTATCCATTTTTAAAAAAATAAAATTTAACAAATGTCTGTCATAACTCTTTTCACCTGCAGGTTTTCTAGTATTAACGAATATATATCTATGATCATCTGGGTTTTTCCATTGAGCTTTACAAATCTTTTTAAATGCATCTCTGTCCATTCCGTGATTTATCGACTGAATGATTTGAGATAAATCTTTATCGTTTAATTCAAATGATAAAAAACAATTTGCATTTTTTCTAATAAACATAGAATCCATCCCGTAAAAAGATTGGGATTGGTATATGCAGTGACAGTTGTGATGTCTTCCTTTCGTGAAGAATTCTTGTTGAACAGCTTGATTTCTTTGCGCTACGCAGTCGTCAAACAATATTAAGTTCTTTCGTTTGCTATCAATATTAGACAAGTCTAGATCATTAACATTTTATAACATTATAAAAACTTATATATCCGTTGGTTTCTTTGCTTCGATGAAGTTATTTATGATATCTTTTATTTCCACTTCTTCTTCGTTTTCTTCGTAATATTGAGATAGGTCTTGAACATCTTTCTTTGGTAGATATTCTAAAGCTTTGAGAAATGATAATAAGATTGCTCTGGTGTTGTGTAGATATACAAAGAATCGAAATCTAAAAGGTTTGGTGTTGTCAACATGTTAAAAGTGAGATGAGTTTTCCCAGAACCGCATATACACATGAGCATTGGGTTATTAGGAAATATTTCTGAATGATTGAAATTTTTACCCATTTTTATTATTCTAATTTGTTCCAAAAATCACTCCTTCTCCTTTATACTTTGAAAGATATATTCTTTCTCCAGTGTGTATATTTTTTAAAAATATTCCATTACCCTTATGTTTGACTTTGATTTCTCCTGTGTCAATACTATCTACTAATTTATTTAATCCTTGTTCAACAGTTTTCTTGGTTTCTTCACTAAATCTTTTTCCAAATTCTTTCATTGTGCCTATCATATCTCCCACTCCTGAACCTTTCTTTTCCGTTTTAGGTTTTTTACCCTCTGCTGCCAACTTTTCCAATGCTAAATTGTGTCTATGTTTTTCGGCTGCTTTCTTTTCTTCAACAGCTTTTGTAGCAGCAGCTTCTGCAATAGCAGCTGTCTTTTCGTTGGCAACGCTTACTCCACCAGCTGTAGCACCAGCCATTGTAGCCGCCGCGGTAATACCAGCAAATATTAAAGGTAGGGAAAATATAAATCCACCTTCTTTTGCTTTCGCGTCAATTCTTTCCAAGTCTATATCGTCTCTGACTTTACAATATTTATATTTATCAATAAGTTTTTTAGTTATGCTGATTTTTTTTACCATTATATTGATATTTATCAATAACCTTTTGAGATATGCTAATCTTTTTACCATTGTAAGTTAATGTACTTGATGAAGCTGTTTCTATAGCTTCTATTATTTTCTTGACTAAAATTTCTGGTTTCATTTTTAAAGGTGTATTTTTACTCAATTCTTATTCTTCTATCTGCTATTTTAATTAAATGTTTTGCTTCTTCCAATAATAAACAATAACCTGTTACATCTCCTTCTGTTTTTCCAATATGAATATTGATGTTCACTCCTGTTTTGAAAAGATCTTCTTGGTGAGCTGATAGATCAAAACAGAAGATTGGATGATTAAGTGCAAAATCTACATATTCAAACTAAGGTAGATTTCCAAATAATTCACACATATTTTTATGGTTTCTATAAAATTCATTATAATTCTTTGTGGTTGGATTAATTGTTAAAGGTTGGTTAGGATAATTATCGTTGTTTAATCTTACTTGAACTTTATGGATTAAAGGATTTTGAGTTTGGTTCATTGCCACTCTATAGGCATTATTGTTATTCGTTTGAGAATCTGGTAAGTTCTTGAAACCAACCATTACATATCTTGCTGGTTTAATAGTGTTAGTGATTGGCCACGTGGTGGATTCTCCCGTTAAAGTCATGCTACCTACCGTGTTACGATGAAGAAAATCTATTTCAATATCTTTAGTTAACGAGTTGAATATTCTCGTTTCTACTTCAATTGATGGTGTTATTACGGGTATGAAAAGTTGGAGATTCGTTATTTCTAATTTTGCATCTGAACCATTCTCTCCAAAGAATATCCTATCATCGTTGATTTCTCTTTGTAGATGAATTTTATATGGTAATATGGTTTGATTGTTTCTATCGGATTTGAACCAGCTTCCAAAACCATCTCGCTAAATAAAGATGGAAAGAAATTGTTTTCTAACGTTGTATTAGTTTAAAGTCTTTGAATGGCATTTAGCAATTGTGAGTACGATATATAGACA